GACTGCCTCGGGCTATAAGGGTGGGTGGGCTGATGGAAGGAAACGGAGCACAGATCCTCAGTTATCCAAAGATATCCAAAGATCCAAAGTTATCAGGGCTGAGCACCTGAATCCCACTGCTCCAGGATGGGAGCTGTGCACCTCGCTGCCCTTCACACCTCTGGATTCCTCTTATGAACATGAGGGCTCACATCTGCCTCTGCTTTCCTGAGTTTACTCCCAGGTTTGAGGATGGCCGCCTCGGTGATAGCTCTGATGCTGTCATCCAGCAAGGGGAAATGAAGCCTTTCTGTACTTAGGAACAGTTTTACAGCGCAAGTAGGAAGCCTCTAAACTTTATCACAAAGAAAAAAAGTGATTTGGAATAGGTAAACAAACGTCCACATCCAGCTATAAACCAAACTACTGAAAACCATCAAGGGATTTTGTTGTCACTTTAGAAGCTGCTCAGCAGTAAAGAGCTGCACACAAAAACTCCAGCTATTAAAGGAAGGGTGCACAGAAAGGTATGTGCCCTAAGATTAATGCCGTCGAGTCAAAGAAAAGCTGTTATTTTTGACATTTTGACATAGCATCACTTGAGGATCTGGTTCTTATTAGCCTTTTCTGTGCCTTTTAAAGCTCTATTTTTTTTTAAACCAAAAATGTCAGGAAATTTGGAACAGAAACTTACAATAAAACACGTCCCTTGACCCTCTGATCTATCAATCTTTCAAATAAACAAAGATAGCTGGATGAGCCAGGAAAAGGTTATTATATATAGTTACCTTATGTACAATGGTCAGGCATTCGCTGCACACACCGAGGTTACACAAAATCCCACGTAAGCAAAGCATTTTGTGCAAGACTTGTGCCACAAATGCCACGTGGTACCCAGGGTGGCTTCTTTTTCTCGTTTTGTCCCACGACCTTCAAATTTCACACCCCGCGTTATTTATAAATGAGACATTCAAGAAACACAAATTCTCAAATAGAAACGCGCGCTCCGTCAGTGGAAAAGCAAACAAAAGGAGCTAATGTACTGTGGCTAAAAAAATTTTCAAACAAAGCAGCAGTAATTTACTGCCGTGCTACTAACGGGACCCCACAAATAGAATCCGAACCCTGAGCCCCGTCGGGGGAGCCTGATTTACCCAATATCCCCCAGATAATAAAGGAAAATAAAAAGGTAAATTGTGCATGAATGCGAAAGCTGTAATTCTTCCCCTTTCACCACACGTATCAAATTCACATCCAGTGATTTCAAAAGAAAAACTGGAAATCTCTAAAGGACTGAGGCTGAAGTCAGGAGGCCCCGACCCGCCCGGCTTTGTCCACGGTTGCTTTTGTTGATGTTTCTTAAGATGTAGTTTGCCTAAGAGTTAAATTCTCCCCAGGCCATCAGAAGGATTTTCTCTATGAAGACTCGAGGCCAGGGCATATCCCTGCCTGGAAGGAACTGTTGAGCCGACAGCTTCAGCATGGGTTTGTCAGCACGGATGGCAAGGCTGCCTTCTCCAAAAGTCACTGACATGCACAGTCCTGTGCAGGGTAGCACTGCAAACACTGCAGCTCTCCATGCCCTGCTTCACCCTGCCCTGGTCATTTTCTGCTCTAGGCTGCTCCACGCCATGCCTTGCTACAGGTGATCCTTGTACTTGTGTGCCTTGGAATGCATGAAAATAAATCCCAGCTTCACCTCACACCACCACCAGTGGATTTGGGGCACATTCTGCAAAATCCTGCCTCCTGCTGCCCTCTCCTTGGGGAATGTTTGCTCTCTGCACTGAGCTCTGTGCCACACAGAGCTGAGAGCAGCAGGGAGCTGTGAGCCCAAGCTTGTGATGGCAGATGTCTCAAAATGAAAACGGATCCCAAGCCCTGAATCATTCCAGTGTTTTATACTTCTTTATCAAAGCAGATAGGCCATGAAAAGGGAAAGGAATATACGCAGGATCTGCAGATCTCACAGGGACAGGTTTTCTTTCCAATCTGATGCAAGGAAAAGCCAACCCTTCCACCACCACTCGGTTCCATCAGGGAACCAAAACCTCATGGTAAATGCAAAACTTTCTCGGACCAAGAGCTGGAGCCTGGCTGACACTGGGGAGGTGACGCACAGGTACAAAGAAACAGGAAACCAGAGAGTCTTAAGCAGCAGGAAAGCCGAGCCTGTCCCTCACAGCACCGTGCCCCAAACACAGCAGTGGCTGCGGGGTCTCCCAGCCAAAGGGGAACCTCAGGCAGCAAACCTGTGGCAGGAGGCTCACATCCTGCCTCCTCCCTCTGGGATGGGCTTTTCCCTCCCACCAGGCCCCCTCTCTTCTCCTGAAGTCCGCTTATTTCTCCTTATATAATTAAATACTTATTTGATCGCGTTTTCATTTCTCTTTTCCCTCGTGGCAGTCCCTCTGCGCACCACGATTTACCAACTTGGAAAAGAGGAAAACGCTCATAGCTACGTTTCTCTTATTTTAACAGTGATTATTTTTTATTTTTATGCATAGTTTGTTTGTTTTTTTAAGGTTTTGGTGAGAAACCACCTCCTCCCTCCCATCAATCGTTGCTTTCAACAGCTCTTCACGGGTGGCTGCGTCTCTTTTAAATTCATTTCCTGTTAAAAAGAATAAACAGGCAACTGTTTAATGCTGTCGATTTAGCTTATTTAATAGAAATTGAAACCTGAATAGGGCTCAGTTGTAAGATAATCGCTGCAGAACTCTCCGAGGTAGGGAAAGCACCATATTAAGTAATTATTTCAAAATGCAGAATATTGTTTAACGAGCCCACGAGCTGTTCCTCCTCTCCAAACGCCGAAGGCGTGCTCAAGGAAGACATGCTTATTTCCACAAGACAGCAGATAGAGTTAGAGCCACTTCATGTGGACAGCTGCTTAATTGGGAAATCTGGCTGGAAACCGCTTTCATGTGGTGAACTTAATAGGCTTTAAAATAAGTTTTACTGGGCCGCCCGCATGACCTCATGGCTGACTGCAGCAAAGACAAGTGGATGTTGATGCCTCCAGACGCTTGCTTGCAAAAAGAAATGGAAACAAAGTGCATGCCTCTATCAGCATGTGCTGCAGTGTATTTTGCTTTCTGTATGTGAGGGTTTCAAAGACCTTCCTGAGAGGTGGCAGCACCCACATGAAAGTCCTGCTTTTATGGGCAAGACAAGGCATGTGTGCCTCGCTTGGCCTGTGGGCACACAGAGGAACCTGTCCCTCTGACTAAGCTTTTTGGGCAGCAAATGCATTTTAATCACATATGTAAATCCATGTTTAGGTGTGTGAGCTTAAAGCTGTCTAAATGCTAATCAGGGCAAGCAAAGGGGCCGGTAATCCCCCAGGAATGCAGGATTCAGCCCAGCCACTGATAATTGCTGCATTCCAGGTGGATTAGAAGTGTGAAACTTCATTTTACCTGAAAATAACTCAGCAACAGGTGCCATGAAAGTAACACGGAAAATGTTCTGACTGTGAACACTGAAGGCAGGCTCAGTGCTGGAGCAGAAGCTACAGGCTTTGGTTTGAGCAATAGGATGGTTCAGTGCCCAAAACTTCACCTCTGCTCACTGGGACATCCAAACCCCAGCTGGTATAGCCTGGTACTTTGGTGATTGTAGGGGTTATTGGTGATTGTAGGGATTGCAGCAGGGTCATTCATGCAGTGCATGCTGCCTGCAAGTACCTTGCTCTGCTCCCCAGCTCAGTCAGTCAAACTAAGGATGGAGAGTGCTCACATGGAGGGCCTAGCCAAAGTACTAGTAAAAAATCACCCTGATCATAAGAAAACATTTGACACAAAACTCTAATGAGGAATAATAACAGGAAGTTACTGGGGGTTATTTTTCAGCTCAGCTCAGATTGCATTTGCTGAAAAGTTACACTACCACTACTTGGTGTCATTTGTGCATCTTTCCCTCTGGGCTTCGGCTGAAGGCACACACCTTCCCCTGTGACACAGAGAGAACCAACTGCAGGTCCTTCATCAATCAAACCAGTGGGGTTCACCATGGAGAATGAAGCATACATCACCAACAGTGGTTGGCAAAGAATACTTCTTTCGCCTCGACAAGGTATGACCCCGACTTCTGTGACAAGGGACCACAAAGCTGCCCTGTAGGTAAATGCTGCCCGGAGAACTGACATGTAACTGCTTTCAGTGAAAGAGTTAACCACCAGAACTAGAGACTCCCTTCATATTTAGTACAGAAAACACATTTATGTTTCAACATAAAACTTTATGCACACATGTTCATACAAAGCAGTAACAAAACGCAGACTATGAGATTTGGACAAACAGTCCGTGGCAGAACTCCATGATGGGAAACGTCAGTCTAAATAGTTAATGGTTGACAAAATTATATGCAAATGGAAAGAGAGTGTTTGACAAATGGAACAGTTAGTGAGGTGAGCAGCATCCTCCTCTGTGAACGGTGCATTAGAAGGGTTTCAAAGAGCAGACTGACTCAGAAGCTGCAGGCTTGGAATACAGGCTGGAGGAAGCTAAGCAGTTTGGGTTAAAGAGCTGGTGGTGCATACTTTACAAAATGAAGGGGAATAAGGAATATATCTCTTTTTCTCACTATACCCTCTTCAGAGAGCTCAAAATCACACATAATTACCACTTGCAAATGTATTTTTCCATTCTATTGACTTAAAGCCTTTAAAATTCATAATAAAGCACAATGAGACAAAATGACTCTGCCCGATGCTTGTTAACTTTGCTTTCAGAGCCTAAGATCCACCAGACAAAATGTCAAGCAGTTCATAAACCAGCAGAGCTCACATCTTGAAATGCTTTTCCCATGTGGAACATTTTACTGGAACAAGAAACGAACACAGCAATCTCCAGGAATCACAGAACTGCACATAATTAAATGTCAAATGATCACAAGGCAAACAAGGCTTATCTTAAATGCTCCCTCATCCCTTTGTTTGTTGATTTGGCCGAGTCAAGAAGAATTATTAGGATTTTAAAGTCTGATTTCACATACTTGTGCATTTTCTGTCCACTTACCTTTATCTAGCTCACTTGAGATGTTCCATGATGACGTAGGCATGAAATCAACAACCACGGATGAATTTGCTCCTGGAAGAGAAAAACAGAAAAAAAGAATGCTGTTACTTTATCAGTTCTGTATCACGAAGAGTTGTAAAAGGCATTTGTGAATTTGCTCTCGCAGTAGTAAAATTATTTGAAGAAAACCAGTGATTAAAATGCGCCCGATGCTCTGTGTTGGCAGCTGAAACATATGGGCAGCAGAAGCAGCGAAGTGGAAAAAGGCACAGGGCCAGGACTGGAGCTTGTTTGGCTGCGCTGTCACCGGGAGGCCTTGTGTTAATCAAGCAGCCAAGCTCTGAGATGTGCTTGGCCCACCTTAAAGTCCCTCCCTGGGTTTTTATAGAGCTAGAATGACTGCACAGTGCTGCAGCTAAGAAAAACACGGTGCTCTGAGGCTGCTGAACATGTTATCTACTAACATTTATAGAGATTTTAATCCTGTGAACCCATGAGCACAAGAAAAGACACCGTTTATGCACCGAAGTTAACAGGGCTGCTTGTATGAGAAGCTCTCATGCAACTCATGTAAACGCAGGCCTCAGAGACTGGTCTGAACATCAGAAGCATCTCTTCACTGCTGCTGGGATTGAACACACATGTATCTGAGACATGGGAAAGCTGACCCTGCCCCTGGCTGGATCTCCAGCACCAGCAGATGCACAGAGATGCTGAGCAGCACCCAGAAGGAGAACGTTGTAGGACATTATAAAGGACATTGCAGAATGCACCATTTTTATTTTGGCACCGTCCTTCAAGTCCAAAGCAACCTCAGTGCAAGGATATCCAAAGATGTCCTGCTTTTATTTGATCAGTGAGCAACTTTCGAGTTCATTAAGAAATCACGAGCAAACTGTAAACACAATGTCATACAAACGCACGCGGCAGTTCAGTTCAGATACAGCCACTGCACTTTTTATAAATATCGTCTTTCTTAAAAGCCCACCTGGTAGCACTGCTTATTTAAGGCTCTGTCAAGTATTTCCAATGTAAACACAGAACCTGCAGCCATTATAACTCACCTACGAGCACAGGCCCCGGCCTGTGCAGATGCGCAGGGCACAAACCCACTGATGGGGACAGATCCTGAGCCCCTGTGCAATGAATGGCATTGCTCTGAAGCTACCCACGATGCAAGCCAAGACCTTGTCCCACTGTGTCTATTCCTCTACCTTCTTTTTTGTTTTTTTCCATTTTATTTTCTGTGTTATTTAATGTCTTTGTGCAGCACAAGCTTTCCCAAGCTGTTGCCATCTTTCCCACTGCTATGGGTGCAGCAGCAGAGCCGAACTCCTGCTGTCTGTATTAGCACTGCTGTCACTTCAGATGTCCCTACAACCATGCACACCTCTTGGGGCTTTTCCAAACACCACTGGCACAAACTCCCCTCCTGCTGTATTGCTTTTAAGACACTTACTCTCCAGACACTTCAGCCTCTTAAATAACCCAAATGTTAGGGACTGGGGGCTCAGCAACTTGCCAGGCTGAAGGAAAGCAGCTTGGAGCAGAGCTCAGTGGTGATGGCAATCACTCAGCAGGATGACACCATAGCCAATGGCACCAGGACTTGAAATTTTGGGTATGTGACAAATGAGCAGTGGGCCAAACATCCAACAGGACGTGGCTGGTGGGACGCTCAATCTCTGCCTTGCGCTCCCATCCCTTCTACCTGAGAATGGAGCAGCTCCAAGAGTGTTTGTATCAATTTTTGTCTTGAACAGCCTTTGGAAGCGTGATGGTAAACCTCCCAGAGCACACAGCCATCGCCTGATCTCCAGGAGGAGCCACACTACAACACCAAACTCCAAGGTGAGACACACTCACTTTTCCTCAGGAGGTAAAGCCGCTGTTTGTGAGATGGCCTTATGCATCACTAAGGCAATTTTCTAATGCTCCTGAATTAAAGCTCTGATTTCAGAGCAAAGTATTTCTATGCCCTCAGTAAACACTTCATAGGACTGAAAGGAACACACTGAGCAGCCACACAGCATGGGGACATACCATTAATTCTAAGTTAATGCAGAAAACAAAAGTCACCGAGCAAACAAAGAGGGGAGGGGATCAAAGCCTTGAGCTGCTTCCCCCCAGAAGCAGGGCTGCCTCCTGCTGCACCTCGCTCAGCAGCTCTGCCTCCTTCAGCAAAATGCATTCAGAGACCAAGCAAGGCTTTTTTTCCTTTGCGTTTGTGACATCAAGTGACTGTGCTCTCAAATGCACAGAAAAACTCCCAGCTCACTTAGGAAATGCCTCCTGTGCTTGGAAAGCTCTTATAGAAAGTGTCCGAATTACATCTTGTGAAGTGATGTTTGATCACCTGAACCGCAGCACACCCCAGCAGCAGCCACAGGAACAGGGATGGTGTGCAAGGAGCAGCTGAGCCCTGTGCACATGAGCACACCTCTTTACCACAGGAGGGTTACATGGGTTGTTTCAGCCTTCACCGCACTTCAGAGCCCACCAAAGCACTGCTGAGCCTAAAAACGTGTCACTCCCTCATCCATTCTCAGTATCAAGCAGTGGATGGAGAGCATCTCCAGGGGTGCTGAGTGCACCACCTTGCTGGCAGCCTGTGCCAGTGCCAGCCCACTCCTTCAGGGGATGCATTTTTCCCACTATCCAACCTACCAACATTCAAAAAAAAAAAAAAAAAAAAGAAAATCCATATGTTAATACTGCAATTGGTTATCAAACAGGGAGATGTAGAATTGACGTTTAATTATTAAAAATGCCCACTTGTGCCCTGCTTTACCCATAGGAACAATGAGATGTGGTTTGCAGAAGCCTGTTGGAGAAAGGTCCATTAATGCAAGTGGCAGAGGCCCATCATCCAGGTAAGATTTCATTTTCGGATGAAGAAGAATCTTAACGCACGAAAGTTAAAGATCAGTTCAAAACTCTGTCCCAATGAAGAAATGCTGGTCACAGAATCATCACAGAATCCTACAATGGCCTGGGTTGCAAAGGAGCACAACGCTCATCAGTTCCAACCCCCTGCTATGTGCAGGTCGCCAACCAGCAGCCCAGGCTGCCCAGAGCCACATCCAGCCTGGCCTTGAATGCATCCATGATCATAAGTTAATGAGAAATCACAACAGTCAATTAAAAACTCTGTGAAAAGCCAAGCAAAGTGTATTCAAATCTCCTCCCCACAGAGAATTTGGCTAACATCTGACTTTATTACCATATTGCTCAAGTGCCAAGCGAATTTCACACAAGTCAGTCATTTGAAAGCCTTTGTGATTAAATAAACTTCAATAAGGTTTATAGAAAGCTGCCCAGGAAGAAGAACTGCAGAGCCTGTCCTTATCGCAGGCACACACCGCTGCCTCATTTTCTCACCATGAGCAGCCATCATTCAGGGGCTGTGTCTGCACCACAGGGCTGCAGCCCCAGCCAAGCACAGGGCAGCCTCATCTGCTGCCCCACAATGAAAGGAGACAATCCAGGCCCTGTGTCCGGGCTAATTAATATCTCTACACCGTGCATTTGTAACATGAAGGAAAGAGAGTAAAAGTCAAAACAGGAAGAAGGCAGATAGCTAAGATGACACCAAACCCAGAAATGATTGAAGATTTTAATGGGAAATAAATCTGCTACAGGGAAACAAAGCAGAGAGCGAAATAAGCCTGCAAATGTGGATGTTTTGCTTGCAAGGCAGCAGGAGCAATGTACGAGGGCTGCATGTTTGCACTGCTTGCTTTCCTCCTGGCTGCACAGAAAGAATCCCAGGCTTTGTAGCAACCCATCTTCAATGGGCAACCCCTGTTATGTGTCATACCTGCGGGTCCTTCTACACCCTCATTACATGCCCTAAAGAAAGTCCGGATTAGCATTTTCTTCTACGAATGTGACTGCAATATCTGCAACCCACATCTAACTGTGGGATACCCAAAATAGCAAAAAGACCGTGGAGGTATTTAAAGTAGCCAAGGAGCTGCGGATCTGAGTAATAAAATAAACCATGCAAAATTAAACTAAATAAAAATGAAGTTTTCCAGTTGCAAATCTCTTCTTGAAGCTGCTTAGAAACCCTGTGCTGAGTGAGATTTGTTATCCTCTGAAGGAATTTGCCTAAGGAAGTGATAAAACCCAGATTGCACAAGACACTAAGAACAAGATCGGGCAAGGCATTCCCACACATACCAATGGGAAGCTGTCCCATGCCAACGGGAAGGTCAGCACTCATTTGGGCACCAGTGTTTGGCCAAATCATTGGTAAATGTTACAGCAGCATCAGTGCTCCTTAAAAAGCTGAATTAAAATCTTCAGAAAATAGTCTCCTTTAGCTGTATTACTTGAAAGTAGTATGGAGATAACAGGAATTGAAGGTAAGATGATACAGAATGAGAGTGAACCCTAATTATACCAAGTGTTCAGAACTTTTTGCTTTTCTGCACATTCCACATCTCTTCACCTTTCCCTCTGTCTGGTTCCTACCTGACTGATCCATTCCAACATCTCCCCACAAAGATGCCCTCTGGCTGTTCTCTTAGCCCTATCTCCACCATCTTTTTCCTGCAGCTCTCACTGTTTCACTGCTCCTCTCAAAGCTCCCCACACGTTTTCATTTCACCTCCCAAGACACTGCATTTTGCAATCCACCCATCACCAACCCATCCACAGCCCACCCTGGAGGCGCTGAAGGAAATCAAGACACACCTGCTGCAGACTGTAATGGATACGACCCATTATTCACTAATTTTCTTGTCTGTTTAATTGGCACCATCCTGAAATTTCCATAACGTAGACCTCAAATGCTGCTCATATCTTTAATGTAAGAGTGGATTCTATTTCCACGACATGAGCGTCTCTGCGTGTCAGTGGACATGTCTGCATTGCTCAATTCTTGCTGTTCAAAAGGAGGCAGGAATCACCCAAATCCCCCAGTCAGCGGGATGAGGCAGAACTGCAGTGAAAAGGGGAAATTGTTGAGAGCTTTTCTGCCCTTCAGATAGGCCAAGTGTCTCTCAAGGTGAACTGACTGCCCTTATGCTTCCTTTAACAATACGTCACAGAATCACAGCATGGCC